TTATACTAAGTGAAGTAACACAGACTCAAAATATAATTGACATATGTTCTCCCTCATATGTGGATCCTAGGATCAGACTCTGATAAATAAGTATGCAAACAGACATAACTGCAGGAACCAGGACAAGGGTAAGGAAACAGTGAGGTAAAGGAAAAGAAGTAACCTGAAGGAGAAGAATAGTAGGCAACAAGCCTTAATAAGGGAGATATGGATAAAAATTGGGTTACTTCTTCAGAAGGGGGAATGTTAGAGTAGCCCAAAAGCCCCATTAAAAAAATAATAGAAGGAGGAGTTGGAGGGGAGAGAGTGGGTGTGGATTTGATCAAAACACCATATGTGCATGTATGAAATTCTCAATAAATTATTTATTTTTAAAAAATTTAAAAAGATAGATTATAGACAGATGATAGATGATAGAAGCTGATTTTTAAATATTTTATTAATTTTACAGATATTTTATAGATAGATGATAAGTGATAGATGATAGCTAGATAGACATAGAAAGAAGCTGAATTTTAAATACTTTATTTTTATTTTATGTGTATGAGTGTATTGCCTGCATGTGCGTAAGTGCACCCATGTTGTGCAGTGCCCACAGAGGTCAGAAGAAGGGGTCGGATTGCCTGGAACTGGAGTTGTGGATGGTTGTCAGCTGTCATGTGGTGCTGGGAATCAAACCCAGGTTCTCTGCAAGAGCAGCCAGTTCTCTTAACTCCTGAGCCATCTCTTCAGGCTGATATAAGCTGATTTAAGAGGTATAAAATCTTTGCAAGTGCTACTTGCAAAGCTGTATTTACAGCTTTTAAAAATTCCTTTTTCCAATCTCAAGAATTTTAAGTTAAAAACAGTGTTATCTTCTCAGGCCACTAGGAAGCATTTCACTCTCTCTCAACAACCTCTCACTAATACCCCACCCTAACACACACAAACCCTTTAGGTTGAACTCCACATGCTTTGATAAGAAACTTTTCTTATCAAAGCATATTAAAATTGTCCATGTATCCATAAATGACTCAGAAATGAGTATTCACTTTCAGAAATGGAAGTGTTCATTTCTTAATATATTGGTGTGCATGTGTGTGTGCATGTGCATGATGTGTATGTGTATGTGTCTGTGGAGTTCAGAGGACAACTTTGTGGAGTTCAGAGGACAACTTTGTGGAGTCAACTTTTTCCATCTTTATATGACTCCAGGAATCAAGCTTAGGTAACTAGTGTCCTAGTTTTTATTGTCACCAAGAGTCGCCTGAAAAGAGGGAGTCTTAATGAAGGGATTTCCCATTTCAGATTGCCCTGTGGCCATGCCTATCAGAAACTGTCTTGTTGACTAATGTGGAAGGCTCCAGCCTACTATGGACGGCGCCACTGTAGGGCAGGTCAGCCTGTGTTGTATAAGAAAGCTATCTGAGCCAGAGGAAGATAGCCAGTAAGTAGCACTTCCCTGCCGGTGCCAGCCGGCCAAGACGGACAGTACCTGAAAGGGGGAGTAAGGATTGAAAGAAAAAACAAGAGACAGAAAAGATACTTGGGAGGGCTGTCAGTAGAGACTGCAGCCCCGGTTTATTTCAGCTCAGCCTTTTTATACAGAAGAACTCAATTAGTTTCAACAGCTGTTTTTCCCACCTGTATCTGAGGATCAAGGAGCGGTCAAATACTTCAAAGTCTTCTTTGATCTTTTTGTCTACCACTATTGTCTCCAGGTCAGGTATTGTGAGGCTCTCCATATAAACACATTCCTCCTGATTTGGCAGATTAGGTACCGGTGTGCAGAACACAAACTCAGTAAACAAGCCTGCCACAGCTCAATGTACATAATAGACTAACAGCTCCCAACACTTCCCCATGTTTCTGTTTCAAGCTACTGCCTTGAGCTCCTGTCCTAATTTCTAAAGATGGACTATCACCTCGAAGTGTAAGATGTAATAAACCCTTTCCTCCCCAGGCTGTTTGGTCATGGTATTTATCATAGCAACAGAAAGCGAATTTGGACACGAGATTTGTATGGCAAGTGCCTTTACCCACAAGGCCATCTTACCAGCCCAGAAGTCATTTTTTTTTAATAATTTTATTTATTATTTTTATTTTATGTGTATGTGTGTATTGCCTGCATGTAGGTAAGTGCACCCATGTCATGCAATGTCCGTGGAGGACAGAAGAGGCTGTCGGATCCCCTGGAACTGGAGTTAGGGACAGTTGTTAGCTGCCACGTAGGTGCTGGGATTCAAACTCAAATTTTCTGTAAGAACAACCAGCATTCTAAACCACTGAGCCATCTCTCCAGCCCCAGGAGCACATTTTTTGTGTCTTGCAAAATACTGGCTAATAGTAGATCTGGGCTAGGTGTCACTTATTCAAAATGTCTTGGAGCAAAATTATTTCATATTTTGGATCTTTTTTTAACTTTTACAAAAACTTTATTGAGAATTTCATACATATATATAAGGTGTTTTAATCAAATGCATGCACACTCCCTCCCCTCCAACACCCCCCCCCCCTCTGAAGAGGTAACCCTAAAATCTTTTAAGGATTAGATACAAGCTCCCAAATACTTTTGACATTTTTGGCCTTTGGAACAGAGTATGCTG